ATATATATATAATTCTATTATTTATTTAGTATTATTTTTTTATTTATAATAATTTTACAATTATTTTATATTATTTTTTTTGTAATTACTGTTAAAGGTTTTTACTGTTTTTTTACCAGATTCTTTTTATAGTGGGATTTTTGGAGAATTACACCATAATGATAGTAATACAATGTAATGCAAGGGTTAACCACGATTATGCCGTCAAACTGACCCGCAGACATCATAATTGCAATAGAAATTGTATGCGCACTTTCCACAACAGAGTGTTGAAACGTTGCATGCATGATCATGATCCTAAACAACAAAGAGTCTCCAAATATCAAGAAAAAAAAACAGTAATTGCGATGACTCAAAAACCCACTGACAACACAATACTTCCAGACAAACATTCCTTCGCCAAGCTGCTATTCTCTCAGATGCAAACATAAGTTCATGACAGGCATGCTTGATTTAAACCAGCCTATCGTCTTCGGTCTGAATCCTCCGCTCTCATACTCACAGATGTAGTAATACTCTCGGCCTGGCCGGAACTCGAAGCCCAGCGAGAAGGGCGTGAAGAGCTGGAACTTCTCGGAGAACTTGAGCGGGCCATTGGGCGAGTGCGGCCGGTTGCACTCCCAGCGCTTGAAGCCTTTGGCCGTGTGGTCACATGTGCTGTAGCCGTCGTAGTTGACCATGTAGAGCACATAGCGCTCCGCTCTCTCCTCAGGGACCGATTCCTCGTAGTGTGGACAGTAGACGTCCAGGTAGTCGTTTATACAGACGTCGATGTGATAGTCTCCACGGTGAAACCTGCAGGACACAGAGAGCCAGATGCACCAAACCAGAGTTTGATATTTTTATACTATATATATATATATATATATATATATATATATATATATATATTAGTTTAGTTTTATAAGATTTTTTAAAAATATTTTTATAACTTTTATATTTATTTATTTTTTAGTTAATGTCTGTTTCAAATTACATTTTTTTATTTTATGACACAGAGAGCCAGATGCATCAGAAAACAATCCTACGCTTCTCCCACCGAGTGCTTCATGCATCCGCAAGAGAAATATGTGATGCAAATATCTGCTTTGAAATAAATGCTCTCCTAAGTTAAAACGATCTTCTAGTAAATATGAGATGATGCTCATATTTTAGTATCACTGATATACTATTTCAGTTTTTGTTAATATTTTGAATTAGATTTTATTTTTCTGTGTTTACTTTCATTTTAAAGATTTAGTAATATTGCTGTGTTTTTGTCATTATTATTATTTTAAATACTTTTATATAGTTTTTATCCAATTTAATTTATTGGTTTTAGTTGTGACACTTTAAAATAAGGTTCCATGTGTCACCAATAGTTAATTATATTAGTTAAAATTAACTAACACAAAAAAAATATTTCTAAAGCATTTATTAATCTTAGTTAATGTGAATTTCAACATTTACTTATAGATTATTAAAATAAAAAAATTCTATCTATTAATATTTAATGGACCTGAGGTAATATGAACTAACAACAAACAGTTGTATTTTCATTAACTAACGTTAATGAAGATTAATAAATATTTTAACTTATATGTTGGTTACTTAGTTACTAACATCAACTAATGGTAAAGTATTACTTAGTTTTAGTTCATTTAGTTAGCGATTGTAGTACTTCGAGTTAATCTAAACGAAAATGAGAAATGTTGCCTTGATAACCATCTGAAATAAAATACGTTTTTAAAGATTTTTCCAAATTTTATATTTTTATATTTCATTTTAGTTTAGTTTTATAAGATTCTTTAAAATATGTTTATATTTATTATAGTTTATTTTTACTTTTTTATATTTTTATATATATATATTTTTAGGTTTAAAAGATTTGAAAAATATTTGTATATTTTTATGTTAGTTACTAACACTAATTAATGGAACTAATTAATGTACTTATTGTAAAGTGTTACCATTTACTGAGGTTGGTGCTGGTTTGCGTTTTGAAAACTCCAACGTGCAACACAAGAAATGATCTCATTAATCACAAAACAGACTAACAAGTCCAAATGCGAGCCTGATGTGTTTACATGCGAATCTGCTCTCATCTCACCGATGAAATGCATAACCTGCCCATATTTGGTTCTCAAAACATTGCAAAGTAAGTGAAAACGAACAGCGGTAAGCGTTAAAGAGAATGAGCTCCGACTGACTCTAAACCAAAGCTTGTCAAAGCGACAGTATTTCTCTCTTTGTGTCGCTGACCCTCACCTGTAAATACTCTCCACATCGTCTTCTAAACTTTGAACGAATGACTAAACAACCTCGTTCCTGCCGCTAAACAGACATTTCTCAGGCGGGTCAAAGTTTTAAGTGAGAATCAGTTAGAGAAATGGGCTGACAGAAGCTTTTAATTGAAATTCTCCATCCTTGAACGTATTTTTGTTAGCTTGGGGAATTACTTTTATTGCTGCTGAAAGATCATTAAACTTAAGCGTATTCTAGTTTAAATGCACAATATAACTACCATGGTAAACAAATATGGTAAATGTTACTACTAAAAATGTGAGAAAACAGATTTATCTCTGTTTCTGCAGAAATACAGACAGATTGTTGAAAATGAATATTACGTTTCTCTGGTTGAGAGAGAATAGAGTTGCAGTATTTCTTTTGAAACCCCAGCATCCTGAATATTATTCACATGAGGAATGTCCCTGTAAAGTCTAGCGAGGTTTTAATCAGTTTTTATTTGTTACTGATATCACGTCGTCTGCACATACATTCCCTGATTTCCAGAAACCTCTTGGCAATCGTGGGACTTTGCACAATCTATTTTAACTTCAATTCTATTGGTGTCCTTCAAAAGAAATAGTCACACACAGACATCCTGTATTCAGTTGTGTGCGCAGCACGACCTAATTTAGCAAAAATAATTTCAGCAAGCTTGAAGCACATTTACAGTAATGCACTTACAGTGGAAGTCTATGGGCAAGACATTCAGCAGGGTTTAAAGCAGAAATGTGCCGTTTATGTTTTAAAGCACATGTTAAATCTTGAAAATGAGCTATAAAGTGTCTAATAATTTTTTTTCCCACATCAGTCTAAATAACAACAACAACAACAATAATATAACTACTACTATTAATAATAATGTTACACAATAAATACATATTTAATAAAAGATGTATATATTGTATAGTATGTATGTACACACACACACACATATATATATACATATATTATTATTAGTATATTATTATTAATTATTGATAAGCTGTAAAATCTCTAATTTGGCTACTTTTCAAGGTGATTTATCCACATCAGACTAAATGCTAATCAACAACAAAAACAACAATATATAATAAAAATGTTATAAAATATATACTTATTTAATAAAAACTATTATATTTACTATATACACACACACACACATATATTGCAATGTATTATTAATTATTAATGAACTGTAAAGTCTAAACAACAACAACAACAATAATAATATAACTAGAACTATCAATAATAATAACACACAATATACTTATTTAATAAAAACAATTATATATACTGTATATATATTATATATTATAATATATATTAATATATTGCAAAATATATTATTATTATTATATACTAGTTTACAATATTTGTAATAAAATGTACGATTACACACATATATATATATATATATATATACATTTTAAAATATATAAACTAATAATAATAATGTTACAATATATGTGTAAAATATTATTATTATTATTTATAATTTTGATGATGTGTTAATGTGTAAGTCTTATGCTTTTACTTTCTAAACAGTGTGTATTTAAATGTTTATCTGACTTCCACTGTAAGTGCATTGCTGTAAATGCAATTTTCGTTTGTTTTTACAAAGTGGAAATGATTTTCTGTGTTAATGGACCGGATGTCACAGATGCCGGATCTCGTACTGATCCTGGAAAGTTCCTTTAATACATTCATCCGGGTGATTTTTCTCTACAGAGTTCTGCCACTCCTGCAGGAACAGTCCTCCGTGCTCCGGTCAGGCGAAAGGGAGTAATTAAAAACTGGGAATGGATGGCAGGCTAATTGTCAAATTATGATAATTACAGGTCTTTGTTATGCTACAGCTGTCTGGGAGAGAAGCTGAGGTCAAAACGCAGCTCTGGCTGGCCTGCGCTCTGTAATCAGAGGAGGATCGGCCAACTTTAGAACATTTATTACACACTGGTTATAAACCCCGAGGAGCTCGCGACGCTTTCTGTTTGGGACTGAGGTGGCCTTCCATACGGCCTCCTGATCGGTCTATTTCTGTGACAATTACACAGCGATGAAACATGATCCTTCAGAAATCATTCTAATATGCTGATTTGCTGCTCAAAAAACATTGATTATTATTATTATTATTGATATTTAAAACAGTTGAGTAATTTTTTTCAGTATTCTTTGATGAATAAAAAAATCCAAAGATCAGCATTTATCTGAAATAAAAATATTTTGTAACATTATACACTCTACCATTCAAAAGCTTGGAGTAAGTATAATTTTTGGATGGAATTATAGAAATTAATACTTTTTTATTTAGCAAGGATGCTTTAAATTGATCAAAAGTGATGATAAGACATTTATAATGTTACAAAAGATTTCTATTTCAGATAAATGCTGTTCTTCTGAACTTTCTGTTCATCAAAAAAAATGTTTTCAACATAATAATAATAATAATAATAATAATAAATGTTTTTTGAGCAGCAAATCAGCATATTAGAATGATTTCTGAAGAATCATGTGACAGGATCAAATTCAGCTTTGAACTCACAGGAATTCTAATAGAAAGCAGTTATTTTAAATAGTAAAAATATTTCACAATATTACTGCTTTTGCTGTATTTCTGATCAAATAAACGCAACCTTGGTGAGCAGAAGAGAATTCTTCAAAAAAAAAAAAAAAAAATTTAAAATCTTGCTGTTCGAAAGCTTTTGACTGCTAGTGTATCTACATGTTTTGCATTATTCTGGAGAGTGAACGCATGTCCAGGATGAGGATGCAATACATTCTGTCACATTTCTGCACACTATATGTTCAGTACGTCTGTATCCACACATCTCCACAACCGTCTGCTGTTCTTAAACACAGCGTTATTATACTTTACATCTTCACTGGAGCTGACAGCTGCACTTACTTCTCACTGTTCACTGTGCAGAGCTCACATAAACATGCCTCGCTGTACTGTATTTACAGTGACACTGTCATCAGCATAAACAAAGTACAACAAATACTAGTATGACGCATAAACAACTTGACCCTCTATCACTAGCACTCTCTATTCTATTAATATTCTACTTGTTTTCTTTAGTTTATTAAAATCATCTGTTAAGGGTGATTTCCGATGACAGCGCTGCTCACTGCATTTGTTAACTGCGTCTTACAAGCTGTTATTAAAAGTAAAAATAACGTCCTTGTTTACAACCCTGTTTCAGCCTCTTTCAATATAAAAGTCTTTACTGCAGACTCACTCAGAAAAACAGTCACTTGTCGCCATCTAAAAGTGGAACAATGTAACTAAACAGGCCGCTTCTCAATATCAAATACTACTATTAATTATATAAAATATTATTTATTGAATAATCATATTTAATAAACAACAACAGCCATCATGAAAGTTGCTAAGCAATTCAGTCAAAAGTACAAAGGCAGCGCTCTGATATACAGCATTAAATTTAAAGTTATGAGACTTTGCCCTAAGCCAAAACAGTTTGCTCTGATACAAAAAATAGATTAATGAGAACAAAGACTGTCCGTTAGATTTATCCAAAACTAATTAT